GGAATCTTCCAGATCTGCCAAAGGGGTCCCTGAAGATGGCAGCGGCTGCTCCGGGTGCTGAGGCACGGCCCCGTCACTGCTGTCCTCTGGAGCTGATGGGCTGGCTTCCACTGGCTCAAAGGCATCATCCTCTGAGGGGGAGACAAGCATCAGAAGTGGGCTACCAATCTGCATTAGGAGGCAGGCTGGACTGGGGAGAAGCTGGGGACAGCCTTGCCTGAATGCTCCCTCTGCTGCTGGCCAAGGTGGGGAGCTGGAGGACCCCAGGGAGGGCCTGCTTCACAGTGGGCCCTGTAGAGCACAGCTCTGTGATGTGGCTCCGCCCTCAGCTGAACACCCAGTGTGGAAGGTGCAGGGGATGCTGTGAGCAGGCCGGACATGGTTCCTGCCACTGCAGAGAGACAGAGACAGAAAGAGGGAGGGGCGGGGAGAGAGGCAGACAGACAGACAGACAGACAGACAGACAGACACACACACACACACACACACACACACACACACACACACACACACACAGAGAGACAGAGACAGAGACAGAGAGACAGAGAAATAGAGAGACCTCAATGGAGTCACCAAGACAGACAGAGATAAGAGCCAACTAACTCAGAGGATGCTCTGGGTACAATAGTTAATGCTGGTGTGGAAACCCTGTAGAAGGGGCCTGGGCTGGGGCAGGAGGGTGAACAGAACCTTGGCCAGAACTGGGTGGCATGTATGGGCGAGAGCTCTGGTGGCCAAGTGGTAAGGAGCTGCACTGCCAACCCAAAGGCACATAGTTTAAATCCAACAGCTGTCCTGCGGGAAAAGGATGGGATATTTCCTCCCATGTGATTTACTGTCTCTGAATGCTTGCTGGAGAGTCAGCAATAGGTCAGTTAAGGCTCGATGGTACTCATCAACAATGACCACCACCAGAGCAGGCGGAGCCATACAAACCAGCTGGGCATTTGGCACAAGTTTCGTTCTCCAGAAGGGTCTATGATGGGTCTCTCCCTTCACTGAAGCCAGCTCCTTACTGGTAAACTATCTGGGGTGGTGTCTTTGTCTATGTCCCAAAGGAAAAGGAAGGAGTCAAATCCCAGTCTTTCCTGCTGGCCCCCGCCACTGCCACAGGTGAGCTGTGCTGGCCAATGGAGAAACAGGACTGTGCTGGTCCTGCAGCACGTGTGGCTGTGGGAGGGTGTGCGCACAGGGGGCAGGCACAATGTGAAGGAGTATGAGTGCATGTAAGTAAAGGGAACACTGGCGGGGACATTCTGGGTTACGCTGTAGGGTAGGCTGGCATTTTTCTGTGCAGACCCGTCCTGGGGGGAACCATTTCTCCCAGTACAAAGGCAAAAAGACTAAGGCACACAGCCCCACATGGGAGCACCAGCTCTTTCTTGCGCTTCACAGCAATGCCTGCTGACCAGGCCTGTGTGGTGGTCTCCTCAGTGCTCTGTAGCATAGGGGTCAGCACACGGCTCTCACCTCAGGGGGCTCTGGCTCCTACGGCCGTGGCCAGGAGGCACTGGGGCTCTGTCCCATCTTCTGCAGAGACTGGTTGAGGGGCATGTCTCCAGGACTGCACAGCTGACATGTGTTCAAGATGAGGAGGAAGAGGCAGTCCCTGGCCCCACTGGGGCTCCCTGCACTGATGCACGGGGTAACCAGACCATGACTGAGCAACCAGGGCAGTCGCAACCTCAGCAGTTCCAGGGCAGGTGGCACCTTGGAGAACCTGGTCACAGGAGATGTACCTGTGGTGCCAGGGAGAGCCTGCTCAAAGACAGGCTGCAGAAAGCCATGTGGCCTTTGTTCTTAGTCCTTTCACAGACTCAGTAGCACCTGAGGTTAACGAGTGGGAGCTGACCACACTAAGAGGGACCAGCTGGGGCCCCAGACAGAGCTTTGTGGTTGATAAGGTGGGGGAAATCTGCTTTCAGAAGGGTAATATAGCCCTTTGGGGTATGGAGGTTTCACGACATGACCTTGGCAGACTTCACTGAGTGTATCTTTCTGGGTGTGATTTATCTACACTGAATAGTTTCAGACAATGAACAAACCCATGGAGGCAGTGTCTGCGAAGGGCACCTGAGGGCAGGTGTTTTTCTAACAGGGCCAGATTGGCTCTGAGTGGTTGGGACTGGGGCGTGTGATGCACGAGCAGCTGGTGAAGTGGATGAAGAACTGGGACGGGGGACTGGACTCCCTCACTTTTGGAATCAGACTCATGTGGACTCTGACCACGGCCAGCAATGGAGGCGGAAGCTGCACACCCTGCCCTTTGTTTGGGAGATGGTAATGGTACCTGTGGCCGGGAGGGGTATGCTCATAACACAAGGGGCAGAAACACCTTACAAGGAGAACCAGAGAGGGTGGGTGGGGAGGGTAGCCCTCGTAGCCCTCTGGGGTGCAGGACACCCAGCATGCAGGCAGAGGGGCCTGTGGCTTTGGGTACTCTCCATGGGGCTGGGAAGGTACCTGTGGGTTCATAGAAGACACTGTCTGGGTTGATGGATGCTTCGTAGGGTGGCGGTGGGTCATCAGGCTGGTCAAGATCGGGATACTTGTAAGCCGTGTAGGGTGGTGGGGGGTCATGGAAGTGGAAAGTCCCACCTTCTCCGTCATCAGAAAGATGGAGTGGGGTGAGTCCTGTGCCAAACCCATCTGGGCCATAGTCGAAGCCGGGGATCCTCCGGCCAAGGTTGAAGTGGTGCACTGGCAATTAGAAGTGGGCAGTGAGACCTAGCCATGTCTGTGTCTCCTACCGGCCTGGGACTGGTACCCAGGCAGCAGCAGCCAAATGACACAGCATATGATAGGTGACCAGCCTGTATCCCCCGATGCAGACCTGCCCTTCAGAAAGTGCTGTAATGTCCTTGAGTCCCCCGCCCTGACCTTAAGCTGGTTCATCCTACTGAAAGAGCACACTTATGTCTGCCCCCAGTGCTCCTGTTATAGGCCCCTGCCATCTGATTCGATGACCGCTACCCTCTGCTCCCAGTCAGCACTGGCAAGGTTTGGGGAGTACCTCTCAGGAGCACCACAGTGACGGGGTTTTCAAACCAAACTAGGGTACCTGAAGAGGCATCGGCAACATTTCCTTTCAGCACCCCTCATTTCCACTATGGCTGCTTGGTCCTGGCCCTGAGTCCCCTCTCCAAGGGTCCTGACTGAGGTGTGAGTAATATGGAGAGATCTCCCGAGGTGGACACAGTGCTGCAGGGATGTGGGTACTATAGGGGACCTCCTGAGATGGATGCAGTCCTTCTGATCCTATCTTGAGGATGGTGACCCACTCTCTCCTCACTGCTTTACCAGCACCCCATCTCTGCGCTCTCTCTGAGGCTGCCTCTGCCTCCTGGCATTTGGTCTACACAAAGTGCTCAGACTTTCATAGGAAAGGAACTCACTTTCTGCTTCATAGCCTGTGAGGCTCAGAGGAAACAAGAGGGCACGTGTCCAGGGACACACAGCCTTGGCCCAGTCCAGGCTCAGTCCCCTATCTGTCCCCGATAGCCACTATCTGCTGTTCAGAAGGGAGTTTGCCCAGAGCAGGGTCCTACGTGTTGTAAGCATTCCTGGAATGCTGGCCTCCCTGGGGATGGAATCCCACCTCCAAGGGCTGCTCTAGGGCAGCCCCACATGCCCCAGGGGCTGTTCCATCCCTCTGAGCCTCCCTGTGCCCACTCCCCTGAGCGGACAAGAGGGGACAGGGCACTTACAGTTTGCTCCAATGAGGGACTCGATGCGCTCCCGGCGCCGCTGGCGGAGCCGGTGGACCATGAAGAGCAGCAGGGACAGGATGAGGAAGGAGGAGATGCAGCTGACGATGAGGCGCATACCGCTGGCCATGGAGTCAAACAAACTGCTGCCGTCTGTGAGGGGCAGAGGGAGACGGCCAACTCTTAGAGAACCTTCGGCAAGTGCAACAGCACACCGGGCTGAACCCGTCTGCTTAGCGCGGAGGAGCAGGGACATGTGTAGAAGGCATGGTGATGCCCAGATCTCTGACCTGACAATCTCTCATGGTGACTGGTAGCAATAAAACAGTTCAAAATTGGGAATAATGATGTTAACACCACACGCAAGGAAGTCAATCACTGTTTAGGAAAGATGCTGCCAACAGACAGTTCCAGGGAAGGCCTGTGTCTTTCTGTAGTGTGGGCTGGCCCCGGATCCCAGGAACCTCTGCTCCCTTGGCTCAGGCACGTCCTTGTACACCATCTAGCCCAAGTGTGTTGGAGAACTGAGACATGGGGTCTTTCGACCAAAGACACGCACTTCTAACACACAGGGTGAGAGAAGTACTGTGGGCACACACCCTACCGCTGTGGAGGGGGGCAAAGCAACGTGGCTGCTAGAAGTATCCTTCTTGGGGAAAGTTACCTCCCAGGAAAAGGGCATCCTGGAGGTGAAGGGAGAGAGAGGCATTCCTCTTGGGGGTGGGGCGAAAGGGCATTCTGGGGGTGGGGGTGCATCCCTCCTGGGGAAACGATGTCCCTTCTGAGGAAAGGGATCTCTACCAGGGAAAGTTCATTCCCAGAGAAAGGTGTCTTTCCCGGGAGGCTTTAAATCACACAGGAGATTACTGGTGGATTTGTATAGATATATGTAAGTGTATTTTATATATTACGTTTATACACATATGTGTATAATTATAGAAGTCTTCATTAGTTTGGCTTCTCTAGCAAATCTAGCTGAAAATATTACATAAAGCAATCTACAGATCAAGACAATGTAATAAAATGCTGAAAAACTCTCTCCTATAAGAAATGAAATATGGATCCTCAAATTAAAATGGAATTGCAAGGAGCCCCAAATAACAAACACAGGCTTGAAAAAGATGAACAAAGTAGGAAGACTCAAATGATAATACATTAACCAAACAATGTGATACGGCCACAAGATCGTACAAATCAATGGAACAGAAAGTCTAATAAACTTGTGTAGTTTGAAATGATTAATTACATCTGTGCAAAAAAAATCATTGGAAAAGCTCAGTATGAGCTGTGAAAGCAAGGCAAAGTGCTGATTGTGGAACAGACCACTAACTACTCATTTGCAAGTTCAAACTGAACCTATAAAATTTAAAATCCTTAAGAACCAAAATTTGACTTTGAGTTTGTCCCACCTGAATTTAAAAGCCATCTCAACAATAGGTTTGAGATCTTGAACACTAATAAATGAAGACCTGAAGAGTATTGGGACGCTCTCAAAAATATCACCCATGAGGGAGCTCTGGTGGCCTAGTGGCAAGAAGCTGAACTGCAATCCCTGAGGTATGCAGTTCAAATCCACCAGAAGCTCTGCTGGAGAAGGAAGGACAATCTCTTCCTATACCAGTCAGATCCGATTTGACGGTACACACACAAATAATAATAAAATTAAAAAAAAATATCACCCATGAAGAATGGAAAATAACATTGCAAAAACAGGAGGAAGAAAAAGACTGAGATGGAAGTCACTAGAATGCCAGGAAGTCAAAGCAAAGGGAAGAAATCAGGAAACAGGAAGCTGAACAGAAGATTTCATAGGGGAGCTCAGGAAGACAAAGTAAAGAATTCTAAAGCAGTATGCAATGAGCTGGAGTTAGAAGAGCAAAAAGAACAACTCGCTCAGCATTTTCTTAAGGTGAAAGAACTAAAGAACAAATTCAAGCCTCAGGGTGCAATAAATACTTAGAAGATGTTATGGGCAGAATATTGGAAAGACCCAGGAAGCATCAAAAGAAGATGGAAGAGTCACTGTACCAAAAAGAAATGGCTGACACAGAAGAATTTAATGAAACAACTTATGATCAAGAGGCAATGGGGAAAAAAAAGACAATAGTGATGAAGGAGAAAATTCAAGCTGCTGTGAAGGAATTGGCAAAACACCAGTCCCCAGGAATTGATGGAATACCAACTGTCATATTTTAACAAACTGCTGCTGCTCTGGACATGCTCACCAGGTTGTGCTAAAAAGTCTGGAGGACTTCTTGACTGGAAGAGATCCATATATGTTCCCATTCCAAAAAAGGGTGATCCAACAGTGTAAAAATTATGGAATAGCACTAATAACACATACACAAGCAAAATCCTACTGAAGATTATCTAAAATGACTAGAACAGTACATCAAAAGAGAATAACTAGAAATAGAAGGGGAGTTTAGAATAGGCTGTGGCACTAGAGAAATCACAATCAATGTCAGATGGATCTTGACTGAAAGCAAAGATTACTAGAAGAATGTCTATCTTTGCTTTATTGACTAAGCAAAGGCTTTATTTTTTTATTTTCTTCTTTATTGCCTAAGTCAAGAGTGCGTGGATCACAACAAACTGGCTAGTCTTGAGAGGAATGGGAATTCCAGAACACCTGATTGTGCTCATGTGAAACCAGGACAGTCCTCAGAACATAGCAAGGAAACACTGCATGGCTCAAAATTAGCAAAGGAGATATGTTAGAGATAAGTACTTTCTCCATATCGTTTTAATCTGTATGTGGAACAGATTATTTAGGAGGCTGAATTTTATGAGGATCAACATCAACATCATCAACAACCTGTGTTATGAAGATGACACAACCTCAGCTTGCTGAAACCAAGAGGATCTGAAGCACTAGAGTTTGCTCAGAAGGTCAAGGACAGTAGTCTTCAATATGGATTGAAGTTAAACATCAAGACGACAAAGATTCTCACCACTGGGCTACCTGACCACACTATGATAGATGGAGAAGATACTGAGACTGTTCACAATTTCAGCTTGTTTGGTCTGTGTATCTAAGGTTTATCATTCTCCAACCAATGATTAACTTTATTTTGTGTTGAAGTAATTACAGTATTAAGGAGAAATGATTAGGATGGGATACAAGCCCTACCCTACCTACTCAGCGGACCTCAGCTCTTCTTTCCTTTGGAAAAGCTTGCTTGCCTCGGACGTACCTTCCAGCTGCTTACCAGTCTCTACATCACCAGAGAGAGATCTACATCATCATCATTCTGAGAGATCTTCTAGCAAATCTGAACCCAAGGGCCATAGAAGAATTGGAGAACTGAGCCAAGAATGTAGCTGTTCATGTTAGAAATCATGGACACATAGAGCTAGTTAAGCATTTGGAACTATGTTGATCTGAGACTTTCTTAGTCTGTTAAGATTTAGCAGAATGAATTATGAAAACACTTGGTTCCACAATCAATCAACATGGTTGGCACCAGCAGCCAGTAAATTGAAAGATGAAATGAAAAAACAAAACAAAACAAAAAAAACAAACAACAACAACAACAAAAACAAACCCAAAACAAAACTCAAACACCAAAAACAGGACAAATTGCATTAGAAAAATCAGCTGTTAGGGATTTCTGTAGAGTGATAAAGAGCAACGACGTCAGTCTAGAGACTAAGGTGCACCTGGTCCAGGCCATCGTCTTTGCAATTACTTGCTATCCATCTGGATATCAGAGCTGGACAATGACTAAGGATAATAGAAGAAAAATTGAAGCTTTTAAACTGTGATGCTGAAGGAGAGCAATGAACATACGATGGGCTGCCAAAAGAAAAACAGCGCAGTCAACTTGATAGCATTTAACAACAACAGTTTAAAATCAGGAAGGCTGTGTGTCAGGACTGTATCCTTTCTCCATACCTATTTAACCTGTGCTCTTAGCAAATCAAGTATCAGCCAAAGCTGGGTGACTCTAATCCGTGGCCCTAAGGCCTGTTTTTCATTGTTTTTTGGTGAAACATTCTTCTAGGTCGTATAGCCCTGGTGTTGTTCACTTGCCATACAGAGGTAACTAGTGGTCACTGTGAAGCTGAACACTGTGACACTGATGTGTCAAATGCGATAACCGTTACCCATGGTGGACAGTGTCTGCTCCCCGGTTAAAACAAGCTTGGAAGCAGGAGCGGCATCCACTTCTGTAAATAGCTTGCCTCTGGAAACCCTATGAACCTGGAGAAAGGATCAAAGTCACGCACGCAAGTGTTGAGGACTTTCGCTCACAGGGTTGCTATGAGTTGCCTACGACTCGACAGATGGCACTTAACAACAACTTAGCAAATCATTCGAGAAGCTGGATTTTATGAGGAAGAATGTGGTGTCAGGATTGGAAGAAGACTCACAAATAACCTAAATTATGCAGGTGGTATAACCTTGCTTGTACAGTAAAGAAAACTTGAAGCACTTAATGAACAAAATCATAGACTATATTCTCCAATTCTCCATAACAAACTGTGGCTGACTCTGAGAACAATGGGAATCCCAGAACACTTGATCGTTCTAATGCGAAACTTATACTTGGACCAGGAGGCAGTCGTCA